GGGAAACTTATGCTCACATCTTCCTCCCCCACTATAAACAAGTATATTTACTAGATAAATATAATAATCGCGCTTTGCCCCAAATCTTAGCTGAGTGTGAAAAGAACATCTCTAGGCATCAGAATTAGAGGGGAGGAAGGTCAGAGGGTCTCCAAGCCAGATACATTAGGTTAGGGATGGGGGTTAGAGGAAGAGTTGAACCCAGATAAAGGCACTGAGGGGCCTTTTTAAAAAAATTTCATTAAAGTGTAACATTCTGGGGCTGGCCCCGTGGCTTAGCGGTTAAGTGCGCGCACTCCACTACTGGCAGCCCGGGGTTCGGTTCCCGGGTGCGCAACGATGCGCTGCTTCTCCGGCCATGCTGAGGCCGCGTCCCACATACAGCAACTAGAAGTATGTGCAACTATGACATACAACTATCGACTGGGGCTTTCGGGAAAAAAATGGAGGAGGATTGGCAGTAGATGTTAGCTCAGAGCCGGTCTTCCTCAGCAAAAAAAAAGAGGAGGATTAGCATGGATGTTAGCTCAGGGCTGATCTTCCTCACACACACAAAAAAAGTGTAACATTCATACAGAAAAGAGTCTACATCATAAGCGTGCAACTCCATGAATTTTCACAAAGTGAACACATCATGTACCCAGCTCCTGGAATGCCCACACAGAGAGGAAGGCACAGTGAGGGCCAGACCCCTGCCTGCATGAAGTGGGGCCTCGGAGGGCTGGCCCTTCTGTGAAAAGAAATCTGAAAAACTGGCCCTGTAGCCCAGAGAAGGACAAGGAAGCTTGCCATCTGCTCTGGATAGGGAATAAAATCTTCCTGGGAAGAGTCAACTGCCCTAGGATGAATGAACACACCTGCAAGGAGCAGGACTGCCAAGAAATCAACACAAACCCTGTCCAAGACTGGTGAGACTCCTGGATCCTGGCAGAAGCAAACTAGAAAGGCTCTGTAGGGACCCTTCCACCACCCAGGGAGCAGAGAACTCTCTGGAAAAAACCACTCTTTCCCAATATGAGCTCAGAAAAATCACAATCCATAGAAGAAAATGAATGCATTTAGTCATGCAGTATGTGTCTTAATACTGGCTGTGGAGCGCCAGTTTCTTCTCCACACCCACACTGCTGACAGAATCTTCTGAAGTAGAAGCATGAATCACTCTGCTAGGGGAAGATCACTTGATAAGATGTAGCCATGATTTCATTACCTACAAAGTCCTGCGTCACTTAGCCCCAGTTTGTTCCCACTCCACCCCACACACTGCTCAAGACACACTGCTTCCTTGCTGTTCCTCAAAAGCCGGGTTATGGGTGAATTGTGTCCCCCAAAAGATATGTTGAAATCCTATCCTCTAGTACCTGTGAAGGTAACTTTATTTGGAAATACAGTCTTTGCAGATGTAATCAAGTTAAGATGAGTTCAGTAGGGTGGACCCTTAATCCAATATGACTGGGGTCCTTATAAGAGGGGAAGAGGGTCATGTGAAGACAGACACACAGGGAGAGGGCCACGTGGTGATGGAGGCAGAGATTGGAGCGATGCGGCTGCAAGCCAAGGAATGCTAAGGATTGCTGGCCACCACCAGAAGCAGGAAGAGACAGGGAAGGAGTCTCCCCCACAGGTTTCACAGGGAGCATGGCCCTGTTGCCACCTTGATTTGGGACTTCTAGCCTTCAGAACTAGAAGACAATACAACTCTGTTGTTTTAAGCCGCCTAGTTTGTGGTATCTTGTTACAGCAGCCCTAGGAAACTAATTCAAGGTTCAAATGTATTCTAGCACCTGTTGATCCCCCTGCTTGCAAAGCTCTTCCCTAGAGAGGCTCCTCGGTCCCCACAGGTCCCTGCTCAAATGCCACCTTTGCAGAGGGGCCATGGCTGACTGCACAACTGAAAACAGCAGTTCCTGTTTCTCTCTCTATTCCTCTGCCTCTTTTATTTTTCTTCTTGGTCCCTAGTCATACCTGACATTATAGTGTATATCTTTTGTTTATCGTCTGCCTTGCCTTCTAGAACGTAAGTACCGTGAAAGTAGAGACAGTCCAATTCACTGCTGTACACCCAGTGCCTACCACGTGCCTGACATAGGTAGGCTCTCCATACATATTTGTTTCATAAATGAATGAACTACTTGAGAGTACAATTTACTTTTTCCCTTTTCATCCCTTCACATTTCTTGATAGAGCGCTTTGCTCTATCAAGTTTACGCTCAGTAAATATGTGGAGATGGATTAATAAACCCATCACCACTAGTGGGCTTAAGGCTCCGCATGGTTAAGAGGGAAAGTCAAAATGCACGTCGTGTTGGCCTGGATTTGGTGCCCTCTTTGCTGTAAAATGACTGTGGGGACAATCGATCAGCTTTCTGTGAGTCATCATTACAGCTCACCATTTGTGTGCCTCATGCAGCCACTGTCTGCCTCACCCTGAACATCCTCCCTCCCCTTGCCTTGTTTCTCTGATGAAGGAGACAGCATTGAGTAATCTACGTTTAGTTTGTGTAGCTCAGTGGTGCCAATCATGGCAAATAATGAATTAGGGGATCCCCGCCTTCTCTGAAGCATTGAGCTGAAACCAACAAATTCATTTGATTTAGGACCACAGGCTGAACTGAGTGTGTTGTCTGTGACAGGAGAGTGCTTTCTTCACTAATTAAGTCACCCGGGCTCAGACAAGCCGTTTCCCCCGTGGTGAGGGTGCTGCTTATCTGCTTATCTGAGTTGGCCCAGAGACTGCGCCTGTGGTCTTCTGTTTGCTAAGAGAATTGGCATATAATTTTTTTACAAACATGTAAGCCAGAAAAAAATAGATACTTACACACTCACACATACATATACAAATCTCATACAGTTTTGCAAGTTTCTTTAGCCTTTCAAGGACTTTTCTGGTTTTCCTAGTAAACCCTTATTTAGAGTTCACGATTTCTGGGTTAAGGATTGTGTTTTCTGTCAGTTTGAAAAGGACTGATATAAAGTGCATTTTATCCGCTTTCATTTCACAAGAACATAAAAATGAACTCATCAGAAATCTGTTTTATTTGATGTTTGCAAGAGAGAAGCCATAGATTAGAAATAAGAAGTGTTATGATACTCTCTGTTGGGGAAAAAAGAATGAAGTTCTGTTTTCATTTAAAACCCATGAGTCTTAACATGTGCATCAGGAGGTTTTATACATGAGGAATTTTGAATGAGTTTTTTAAAAGTCAGTAGAAATCAAAGTACAAGGTGTGGATGAAATGGTGCTAATTAATTTTATAAAATGTTACTCTGTTGATATATTTAATAAAGCATGTTTTGCTGGTTCCTTTCTCCTTTCTGGTCAGATACAAATTTAACTCATCCCAACCGTTGATTACATGAGATTTGGCACCTTTACGCCTTGTCACTAATCATCAGTGCTTCCCTGGGAGGGGTCAGAAGATCCCTGTTATCTCTACCCAGCAGGAGGGGCACCGCCCCTAGGATGAAGGGGTGGCTTATCCAGAGCCTCCCAGAGGTAGCAGAGAAGAGCCCACGTAGCTCAGACATCTAAAATCTTTGGCTTTTTCTAGTTCTCTGGCCTTGTCTACACTTTTTCCAGCACAGCATTTCAAAATGTGGAGCGTTTCGTGTAGTTTATTTAAAAGAAATGGGTTTAGGCTTTAGGTAGAGAAATACATTATCCTTAGAGATCACCTCTTTAAAGGGCAAATTAAACCAATGTAATTTTCATTATGAGAGTAGAGAGTTAGCAAAATGTATAGAAAAGCAGTTTGATACTTGGAGCAAGTTTTGGTGCCCATTTCTCAGGGAATACCTCCTGCTCAGATTTGAAGATCGTGTAGGTAATACGGAAGGCAATCCATTTAATATGATATTTGACCTTGGGCTTATAACCATAAGGAAGACTAACTAATAATAAGTAAACTGACTCAATCAAGAGCACACATTTTAGCTACAGAAAACTGGTTTTCAGCTCAATCTAGACTCCACCTTCCTGGCATTTCCACATAGCTTGCTCCCTCACTTCCTTGAGGTCATTGCCCAAACGTCAGTCAGGACTTCTCCGACCCATCTATTTCAAATCACATTAGCCCCCCCGTTTCCCTTATATTGCTTCATTCTTCCTTCTAAAGCTCATCATTACCCAAAATACTACATATTGTGATTATTTTGTCTCTCTCCTAACTTCCACGTAAGCCCCTGCTGTTTTCTCAGTGCACACAGTAGGTGCTCAATACTTGTGCAATGAATGATGCCTGAGACCTTTCTGTTCCAAGCGTTGGTCTTATACTCCATGATGCACTGAACATACGGGCAGCGTGGGCAGGCCAGGGGGTGGGAAGGTAGGAATGGCTAGGAATGAGGGAGGCGCCTGCTGCGCGTGCGGGAGTGGGGCAGGCGGTTTCCCTGTGAAGGTGCGCAGACATGTTACTGACAAACCTCACCAAACACATCCCTCCAAGAAATGCATTTGCCGGACTGGCCTTCACTTTCCTATGCTCTTCTGTTAACGGTATAATGCTTGCTTTCTGGTCCCACTTGTCAAACTCCGTTAACATAGAGATCCTACAGAGAAACTGACTAATTATGTCATGATTGTCCAATAGAAAATAATTCCTTTTCCTATTCTGAAAACAAAACAGGGTCGGCGCATTTGTGCTGTAACCAGACAAGCAAACTGAAGAATTGAGGCAAACCTAAGTACGTAACAGAAACGGAAACGTCTAGAAAGTCCTTTGCTGAGTTGTGCTGCGGTTCCTGCCTCGGTCAAGCTGGCACATGCAACCAGGCCCGTCGTCCACGGGGATCAGGGGTCTAGCGGGTCCTTGGCGCACCGATCCGTGGGGGCGGTGCGAAGTGGACCACCAGCGCAGCTCCCGGCCCTCTCTCGCCCTGGGGGCGGCCCCCGCGCGGGGGCGGGCTCCCCGCGAGAAGCGTGTCTTCGCCTGGCCCCGCCCCCGAGGCCCCGCCCCTGCCCGGCCGCGAATGAGCGCGGCCACGCGAGATAAGGCGGCGTGGGGTGCCGTGGGGGTGCTCTGCGGCTGGGCGCTGGCGGGGCCCACTCCTGAGCGCGCCGCCGCGGGAGGAACCCGGGTCCCGGGCCGAGGCTGCCCGGGGAATGTTTTCAGTCGGTACCGACATGGCTGCGGCCTTGAGATCTGCCGGCGCCCTGCTCCGCGATCGGCGTAAGTGGAGGTGTCACGGCCGCCGCCGAGGCCCGGGTCTCTGCGACGGCGGGACAGCGGGCGCTCTCGCCGAGAGCCCTCTGGCCCGGGGGCTTTGGGGAGCGGCGGTGGGCTGCGCAGGAAGCTGCGCTCGAAGGGGCGAGGGGCGTCGCGGAAGAGGAACAGGAAAGGGGCCGTCTCCTGGGAGGGGCGAGGGGGGTACGTAGGTCACCCGAGGGCCCTGGGAGGCCGCGAGGAGGGGTCCTGGAGTCCCATCCGTCAGCTGGGTAGCCGCGAGCCGTGGCTGAATTTCTCAGAGCCCTGGTTCTCTTCTGTAAAACCGGAATAATGATAGTCACAGGGTTGGTGTGAGGAGTACGGGAGGGAGAGTGTGTGAAGGGCCTGCCACAGAGGGGGCGGTCACGAAGGCAGCATCGTCTTCATCACCATGGGCATCTGCCCTGGGATTCTCTCTCTGGTAATGGATGTCACACTGTGCCCACTGCTGCTCTGCCTTAGCTCCTGGCATCACCAGTGTTCACTTGCCCTTGGCAGCAGGCCCCAGCGCGGGGCAGCCTGGGCTACTGTTTTCTAGAGCCATGTGGAGGACAAATGAGACCCACTGACAGCCGCACACGTTTCTGATGCAAACCTTCAGTGTACGTTGTATCCACAAGATGAGCTGATGGGACTCTGGGTCAGACACACCTGGTTGGGACGCTAGCCTGCAGCATTCTTAACTCTGACCCGTTGAGCAAGGTACTCAGCTTGGCTTGAGCTTTCATAAACGTAAAAAGGAGAACGGTAATACCTCATAGGCTTGACATGAGATTAACTGGATCCAGGTAAAGCCTGTATCACTGCCTGTCGCCGTAGTAGATACGTCAGGACCCTCAAAATGTTCAGGTATTATGTCAAAGGCTGCCAGGTACTAAGATGCTTAATTAATGCCTTTGAATGGTGACTGGGCACAGACCTGACTTAAAGAAGTTCTCTAATTCATCAGTCTGGCACCTACTGAGAGGGGGTGGAGAGAATCCACTCTGAACCTCCATGTCTTATTGCGGGTACCTTTGTTAGGAAAATAATATGGATCCAGCGTACAATGAGGATCAGGTCACTAAGGGCACTGGGAGACAAAAGGCATTCTCTTTTAAGAAGAGGAGATGCAGAGCCAGTAATGGTGCTGACAGAAGTAGGAAATTAATCTTTTCTGTCATGGACCCTTCCTGTGGCCAAGTCTGACAGGCTCTAGATTTGAGGTCATGGAACAATATGAGAAACTTTAAATGACTGGTTATCCAGGTTATAAGTAACCAAGTGGAAGGATTCAGAAACCACAGCAGAGGTATATTTGAAATCCAATTGTATTATGGACTCTGATTTTAAGATGTAGTTATAATACTTTAATCATCTTGTTTGATATGAAGGGATTAACATTATCTGGGTTAGAAAAAATTGAGTAGTATTTCTCAAAATGAATTCTGAAAGTAAAAGTGGAAAAGCAAAGTTTTATACTCTTTGTTTTTAGCATATTACAGAATTCATAAGAAGCTTCCTAGAGTGGACCATATACTATATATGCTTTTTTATTAGAAAGAAAATTCTAGACTAGTGAGAAAGAGTATCAGTGTTTAAATAAAAGACATTAGAACATTTTGGCTCCATACCAGAAAATAACATTCTTTTTTTTAAGCCTCCTCCCCCAAGTACCTTTTGAAGTAACCCTCATCTAGTATGTGATAGAAAAGGGCTCTATTATATATTTAAGTACTTGTGTGCCTTGCTTTCTACCCTCCCCTGCAGGGCCCCGAAGTATCCAAAATATTAAATAATTTGGTTTTAGAGAACCAGTTGATACCTATGAACTTCTTAAGTCATAGGTATACTTTTGAATGATTCACATATTGTCCGGGATTTATGAACTTTTGTTTTCTTACATCATCTTCTGCATATCCCTCATTTTTTTGTAGCTTTTATTGTTTGTAGGCCTTCCGAAGGTAGACCACTTGTCCGTGTCAAGAGTGGGGTTAGAAACCCGGTCTTACTTCATAAGTGGGCAAGTCCCTACTACTGAGTAATCTTCCCTCTTGTCTAACCACATACAGTGTGCCAGGCACTGTTCTTGGGGCTGGACATAGATTTTTTTTTTCTAATCTGCACAACAGCCCTGCAAGGTTGGCCTTATCACCATTTTACAGATGAGAAAATGAGACTTGGAGTAGCTCAAGGAGTTGCCCAAGTTCCGCCACACAGCTTTGCTGGTCTTGTCTGGGATTTCTGCTTAGATCTGTCTGGCTCCAGATCACATACTCTCTACACCACACAGTGTTGCCTGTGCCTTCGGATTTCTCTTCAGCTATGAGCTGAGTATATTCAGGAGTTGGTCATTTGTGTGAATGATCACTTTAAATTCCTTCAGCTGGATGGAACACTAATCTTTTGGTAGGAGACACTCTTTGTTTTTCTAGAACCTTCAGATCACTAGGGGAGAGGTTTAGAGAAGTCCTTGAGAGGTGGATGTATTAACCCTAAGTCCTGAGCAGAAAGGATCCATTATTAGCAGCATCACCGTCCTCTGAGAATTTGTGCAACCACAGAGAAGAGAATTTTGTAAGTAGAGGGCATGGTGATAGTTCAGCAGCTCAAAAAGCTGCCAGCTCCCAAGTTGTACTCGGAAATACTACTATACTACTTGGAGACTCTAGTCTCACCCCTGTTTTCCCCCACCCCCTTTTTAAGGTTCGTAGGAGGAAATCTTATTTTATTACCAGCAGTCAAATTATGGGATGCCAAAGTTCTCTTCTCATACCCCATGGAATCTCATTCATATAAGGAAGTGCAGACATTGTGGCATGACTTAGAACCTGGTTAAATCTCATCATGCAGCTCAGGATTTTAGAGCTAAAATTGTCTAAATAAGGAAATGTGAGTTGGTTTGAGACTTCGTTTGAGCGGAATTGAACTTTATGTCAATCTTTGCACTTCCTCTTTGAGTTAATAAGGGTTATTCAGCACAAGCTTGTGTAATTGGCTCTATTGGGAATGTGCACCATCTAGATAGTTGGAAATCTAAGTGGCCTGGAGGTACCATTCTGCTGTATTTTACAGACATGCTAGGTGATAAAAATCAGAGCAGGTATAGTCCCTATGCTCTAGACACTTGCAAATGAAACTTACCAATCATTAATGCCTGCACTAATCATATGTGGCAGACACTACAGAATGCTTCACTGGTCTTATCTGCTGTAATCCTCACAAGGATCCTGATAGCAAGGTGTCATCGCTTTACAGCTGGGGGAACTAAGGCTCAGAGAGATTATAACCCGGCCCCAGTCACATTACTAGTAAGTGGCACAGCTGGATTCAGTCAGATCTGCTGGTCCCCAGCCCAAGTTCCTCACCAGGACACCTTTGACTCACAAGTAGGAAGAGGGAAGAAGAATACTGATCTCAAGCTGGTTTCGAACCTGTGGTTTGAGAATGGGGAAGGGAGGTCATGTGTACAGTGTGGGGCTACACTGTACTGAGTATGGCCCATGGACTCCTCAATTCAGGTGGGTTCTCCAGCCCACCACTAACTCTTGTGGGGCCCAGGACATGAGTACAAATGGAGACCCATATACCATATTTGGGATAGCGGGCTAACAAACTGTGAAATATATTCTGTTCTTCTGCAGTGACGAATAGACCTTCATAACGACCTGGAAGGGTGAGCTCTTGAACTCTTCAGAGCTCCAGCAGATATGTGGAGGCCTTGGGAGAGTTGCCTCTGGCCTGCAGGCTTCCCTGCTTCTCTTCCCACTGCCAGCTCTGTCCTGCCTTGTGAAGAGTCTTGTGCATACATACGTGTGGACACTCCAGTCTGTATGTTCAAGCTCCATTCTTGCCCCTGCAAACAGCCACCTGTTGGCTACTCTTCAGGTCAAGAGTTGCTTATACTGATGGCACGATCAGCCTTCAGGAGGATGGACCCTGGAAAGAGGCCTGTGCAGACTCTGGAAGTGGGTGTGGGGCTTTGGGGGCAGGAAATTCTGGGTCCTGAGTACTGGGAGCCTGGTCAGGAATGTGGGGTGTGGACTCTGGAGTTCCATGAATCCTTGGCCATGCAGACTGCATACTTGTCAGAGTCCAGGGGCAATCTTGGGGTTCTCAGCACTGGTGCTTTGTTGAAGAAGACTTGTCGGCAGCTAGGAGATCTGTGCCACTGGTTGAAAACTGGCCCAGTTTCCACTCCTTAAATCAGTGACCCTTAACCTTTTCTACAGGCTTCTTGCCTTCTAAAAAGGCTCTGTGCAGGTCCGGATAAGTCACCCTAGGGGCACCACCACATCCCCTTGGAGAGGTCTTAAGCACCTTCACTTGCCTGCAGAGAAATGCCAGGAAAATCACCTCTGCTTTAGCAGCTCTTTAAATTTTAAATCCAGGAATTATGCTCTGAGGACCTCTTCAAAAGAAATTACTTTCCAGCTAGATTTCATGCTATTGCTTTAATTTTGTCACAGTGGTGCAAAGCAGCTCAAGGGCCCGTCAGCCATGGAGGTGCCAGTTGAATATGGCCACAGCAGCAGCCGCCACAGAAACAGCCCAACCTGCCAGAAGCCCACAACCGCAAGTTCAACCAGGGAAGAGGTATGAGTCCAATTTTAGGTACTAATAAGGATTTTCTCTTTGTTGATGCAAACCCCAGTTTCTCTTTATTGATACAAGCTACCTAGGAGGAAGGGTGCTGGGAAAACCCAGTATGTAAGGAGTGGTATGTTTTTCTTGGCTTCCTTTCAGTAGCTGTTAAACTACAGATTTCACCCCCCCCATAGGGCTTTTAAATGTTTTTTTTGAATTTTTGCAGATTTTTAAGTTATTTATTTATTTATTTTCTGGCTTTATTGAGATATGATTGACAAAAATCCCACAAGGCTTTTGTTAAAGGACGCAGAGTTGACTACAGTCTGCAAATTGTGTAGGAATTTAGTTCTGGAATATGTCACATAACACAAATTGTATGTATGCTGGAAATGTATTTATGAACCTAACGTAATTATACCTGGAGATGTAATTATATCTAGAGATGTATTATCCTGTACAGGATAAAGAATAACTAATCTACGAAGGATTTCTGTGGTAAACTCTACCATTGTTTTTCATCTGTTAACACAGTGAACACAATTATAAATGCTGTAATATGATTTATAACTTATTAAAGAAATACAGTACGTGTTTCGTACCTCACCTCTGCTGTTTGCGGATGGACGTCAGCAGGCGTGACATCGTTGCTGGGTGTCCTCTTCCATAACAGAAGCCACAGCTGTTCTCAGGTCTTCTTCTGGTACAGAGGCAACAGAAGACTGTAAAGGGCAATTATTTAGATGAGTACATAGATAAAAATAGTGCACTTTAATGCTAGGCAGAGTGAAAGAAAGAAAGTAGCTATGAACTATTAACTCCTTGGTCTTTCTGGTAGACCAAATGTTCTATGAAAGTTAAACAGCTTTGAAAATAAAATAGTCTTATTTTGTGTTTGTTATTTTACATTGTATAATCATGGGTACGTTGATTGAGCACTAAGTAAACTGAGGTTTGTAGGGGATAGAGCATTAGGGATGGGGCCCCAAATCATCTTCTTTCAACTCTCCTAAAAGATCGAGTCTGATGAGGACGACAGGAAGCACAGACACCGTCTCCGTCCTGGCGGCATGTTGAGCAGGGTACCTCCTTGCCCCCCGTGGCCCCTCTTTTTCTCACCTCAGCCATAGTACAAAGTGCTTTGAGTACTTAGGGTACTTGGTGTAACCTGAAGAACTGATTTGGTGTGGAACCCTGGAAGGAAAATTATTTCATTATCATGTCATCCTAGTGGCAAAAGTCAATAATATAAGTAGCCTTAATATTAAATTATTAAAATTAAGTAAAAATCTTAAAAAAATGCAAATTCTATTAAGTAACTTTATACCATATTTATACAGAAGAAATAAGTCCATTTTAGAAAATACAGGCCAAAAAAAAAAAGATTTAAAAAATCCTTGATAATCTCACCACCCAATATTTTGTCTCTATATCTGTATCTGTTAATATTCAGTTAGTATATATTTACCAAAATGTGACGATACTGCACATATTATTTTTATAACTTCCGGTTGTTTAATGTTACCATATAAATATATATATTCTTAATTATTTTAATAGCTTAAGAGTAATTTAGTAAATCATAATGTATTTATTCAGTCCCATATTATGGGGCATGTAGGTTATTTCTAGTGTTTAGGTGTTAGAGATCATGAAGTGATGAGTGTCCCTGTGGATCATTCTGATGCCAGACATTATGAAGGCATTATGCTGCTTAGTGCTTAGACTAGATGAGACTAGACTAGACAATACTAGACTAGACACTCTTCTGGACCAGGAGTCAGCAAACTTGTTCTATAAAGGGCTAGATAGCAAATTTTTTAGGCTTCATGGGCCATTTGGTTTCTTTTTGCTGCTCTTCAACTCTGCTGTTATGATGTGAGAGCAACCGTAGATAATATGGAAACAAATAAGCAGAGCTGTGTTCCAATAAAACTTTATTTATAAAAACAGGTAGTGTTGGGGGGTGCAGATTTGGCACATGGGCTGTAGTTTGCCAGACCCTAGTCTAGAGGCAGCGTAGGTCCTCAGGCCGATTACGTCTTGTAGGTTTAATGAAGAGCTGGAATTGGTTTCTTTATCTCGATGCTGACTATATACAGTAGAAGAGAATTATTCTATTTCTTTATTAATTGATGAGCTTACGTTTCTGTTATGTACAATTAATAGTTCAAAGGAAAAACCTCGTATTTTGAGAGTCCTAGAATATAAAAATGGCAAAATGGTGAAACCTTTCCAAGTGAGAAGTTTTAAGTGTTTTGCGGTATATGCTTTTACTTTGAAACAAAGAGGACTTGCCCATTCAGACCTTGGTCTCAGATGTGCTCTGTCTGGAGAGAAGGGCAGAGACCCTTGACTAAAGCTTTGCACTTTACATTCTGGAATAGAGGGGTGTCAGAGTAGTGCTTACTAATGCGCCGTTCATCATGCACAACACAGTTTTGAATTAAGTGCGTGCGTATTTAGGTATTTTTAAATTGTGTGTGTCTCTTTCACATATAAGATCAACATGGTTTGCAAAACATAGGTTTGCAGGGCAGAGTAATGTCCCATTTAAAGCCACTCTTATTCTGAGCTCAGGTGTTATAGATGAAAAGCAGTTCTAAATCCCTTTTGCACATTGATACCCTCTGTGGCTTAGGTAAGTCTCTTAGCCTCGGGTTTCTTAACCAGTAATCTGTTAACTGGCAGCAATCCATGGAAAAATGCCCTTAATTTATTGTGAGTCACAGATTTTGAGGGTGAAAGACAGGATCCCACGAGAACACTGGTGGTCTAAGCAGAAAGATAAGGGGAATATTACAGTTTCACAATATAATGAATCTGAAATTTTCAGGTATCAAGAAAAGAAAACTAAACACAAGTTTGTTAATTCTTTGATAGGACTCCTGGTCAGAGGGGGTGGAAAAGTTATAGAACAATGACATCTTCAAAGCAGTTACTTGGTTTAGTAAAAAGGAGATTAAATCCCCTGCCTCTAACACAGTGATTCTCCAGAGCGGGTTGGGAGGGCATTTTTTACCCTGGGACATGTTTGGCAATGTCTGGAGACATTTCTGGTTGTCACAGTGGTAGAGTGTGTGCTATTGCCATCTAGTAAGTAGAGGCCAGGGATGCTGCTATACCTCCTATGGTGCACAAGAGAGCCCTCCACAACAAAGGATTATCTAGCCCCAAATGTCAATAGTGCTGAGGTTGGGAAATCCTGGTCTAAGACAGTGATTTTTAACTAATTAAAAAATTCAATTAGTTAATTTTTATAATGAGGTCTAAATTAGAAAATCCCTGACTTTATGCAACATTTCCCTTTCCCCAGGAATTAGTTCTTATTTTGAAAATTTAGGTTAAGTATTCAGATTTTCACTTCATTCACCTACAATGTATTTGATCAAGAAAACAGTTTCCACCTGTATAAATTTGACACACTCCACTGCCTATTATTGCCAAATGTTGTTAACAGTTGTTTAAAATTGCAATTAGAATGTCATCATAATATCATTAGTTTTAGAACACAATAAGAATGGTCTTCCAAAGGAGAGCCATCGCAACAGGATTGGTTTAGTCACTGCAGTAGCTAGAGGTGGCCTTGATGGAGGAGATTTAGAAAGTGCATTTGTTGTAATAATGGTGTTTTAGATAAACCTCAGGCTAGTTATTTCTCAGCTGTTTTATCAAGAGTGAATGGAGAGTAGATGCATGCAACAGAATATTATTCAGCCGTGAAAAGGAAAGAAGTACTGATTCAGGCTACAACATGGATGAACTTTGAAAATTTTATGCTAAGTAAAAGAAGCCAGACACAAAAGGTTACATATTATATGATTCTGTTTCTATGAAATATCCTAAATAGGCAAATCCATAGACCCAGAAAGTAGATTAGTGGTTGCCAGGGGTGAGGGGGAGGGTGAATGGGGAATGGCTCTGACAAGTACAAGGTTGCTTTTTGGGGTGGTGAAAACGTTGAGGAGTTAAAAAGCCACTGAATTGTACAGTTCAAAATGGCAAGTTTTATGGTGTGTGAATTATATCTAAAATTTTTTTTAATGCAAAATAAAGAAAAAAGGAATGAATGGAACACCCCCTGGCCTTTAGTTCCCCACCTGCAGACTCTTTCACTGCCGTCTGTGACTGCCGTTCGTGGCAACACACAAGGCCTCCAGTTCTCCACGGTCCCTCTCAGGCTCTGACCTCATAGTTCCGAGTCTCTAGTCATGGTCTTCTGGTGGCTCCCAGAAGTGTGCAGAAGGCACTTGGTCCGCTCTGGCTTCACTTTGCCCCCTGGCGAGGTTGAGGCATAGAGAGCTCATCCTGGCCTGGCTCACTCTGGGCTGTGTAGGCTCCAGAGCTGCTCTGGATTTTAGAAGTGTACATTTTTGCATCGTCCTTTTGTTTTAAACTTCCCAGAAGCTGCTTGACTTAAAACTTTTGTTACAGAGTTTTGCTTTCTTTTTGCTTCTTGTTATTCATTCTTCTTATTCATAAAGAAACAGTGCCTGATTCTTTAGCCTGGGACTAATTTGAGTAAGTTAGAGCAGTTTCTTATGGGAATTACCTAAGCAGTGGATTTAGGTGAAGGATGGGGAGGTGAGTGTAAAGAGAGAACTGTAGTTTATTATAGCAGGAGACACTGAAGAAGGGGTAAGAAGAAGGCAGGCTCTGAGAAGGAAGCAGAGTAGCAAGAAATAATTTGTCAGTAATAATTTAATTTAATAGTTGACTAAAGAGAAAGGAGCAGAGTGAGAGATGGGTTGGTATGCTGTGCAGGTTTAATGGCTTCTCTGTGTATAATAGAACTTACTGTGTGCCAGATCATGGTAAGTGACTAAGTACATTATCCATTTAATTCTCAAAACAACCGTTTGAGGTAGGTGGTGGACTCTGTTTTACAGATGAGGAAACTGATGTTTGGAGAGGTCAAGTGACCTTTGTATTCATAAGGCATTCACATCAACAGGTGCTTCAGCCTCAGGACAACTTTGGATTTCTATCTTGACTCTCAGTCCCCAAAGATTGGGATCTTTGTTCAGGGCTGACAGTTTAATAGGGAAACATTTCGAGCCCATTGAAGACTGGTGCTGTGGTTGGAGCAGGAGACGAAGGTCAGAGTGTGAGCTGGGACCGAGCAGAACCGGAGGCCTTGTGCGTTCCCAGATAGGTAGCCATGTGGTGGCTGTGAAAAGGTCTGTAGGTTTTTACCTTTGCATCGAGCAGATTAGATAAGAGTTTGCTAGCTGAACCAAGATTCTACCCTAAAGGAAAACAGTAAGTGTTACAAGTCAACTGTTGCATTTTATTTTATGTAGAAAGCCGAAAACTGGAATATTAATGCTAAACATGGGAGGCCCTGAAACCCTTGGAGAAGTTCATGACTTCCTTCTGAGGCTCTTCTTGGACCGAGACCTCATGACACTTCCTATTCAAAAGTAAGATACATATAAACACCTGTACTTATTCATAACTTATGCAGTGCATTTTGCCTTACCTGTATCTCAGTTGTGTAGTTTTAAAAAAATAAATGGTTTTAATGTGTGTCTGGTAGTGGCTAGAGCAGCATTATTATTTCCTATTAGATATAAGAAGGATGTGCTATTTAAAGAGTTGCAGGGGAGAGAGAGAGCAAGTTAGTGAGGTTCTCCTTGAGCCCTCTCCTCCCCAGAGCTCTGGAGATTGCAGTTATCTTGACACGGCTCAAGTACCTTTACAGATCTTTAAAGATATATTTGTACTTGGCACTTCACAGCCGATTAGCACTCAGGGAAGCAGTGATGATTATTCATTTGTACTGTGAATATGGATTGTTGCTGTCCATCCTTTCATCCTTCCCTCCCTCCTTCCTTCTCTCCTTTTTCTTTTGAAATTTTTTTTTTTTTTTTGGTGAGGAAGATCAGCCCTGAGTCAACATCTATGCTAATCCTCCTCTTTTTGCTGAGGAAGACCGGCTCTGAGCTAACATCTATTGCCAATCCTCCTCCTTTTTTTTTTCTTTGCCCCCCTCAAAGTCCCAGTAGATAGGTGTATGTCATAGTTGCACACCCTTCTAGTTGCTGTATGTGGGACGCAGCCTCAGCATGGCCGGAGAAGCGGTGCGTTGGTGCGCGCCCAGGATCTGAACCCGGGCCGCCAGTAGCAGAGCGCGCGCACTTAACCGCTAAGCTATGGGGCCGGCCCTCTCCTTTTTCTTTTAAAACAGGTTTTTGTAATGAAAAATTTATACATGCATGTGATAAAAAATGCAAATAGAATAAAGTGTTTATAGTAAAAAGCAAATGTTCCTTTCACCTTGGACTCTATCCTCCCAGGTACCCCCCCTGGAGATCAGCACTGTTACATGCAGAAATAGTCCGTTCATACCCAAACACACACATGCACACACTTAGGTTGTTTACAGTGTTACAGTGAACATTCTTTTGCACACATCTTTGCTTACATATGCAAGTATATCTATAGGATTAATGTGCATTTTCTTAAATTAAGAGGAATGTATGCTTCCTAATATTTTATATGTGCCGGTTCCTGCTGGGTTCAGGATCAAGAGGTGTGAAGACAGTAGCTAGCACACGTCCAACGTCTCTGCACAGGTGTTTGGTGTCCTGAATCTTTGGGGTGTGCTGCTAGAACGACTAGTGGGGCAGAGGTGGCTACTTCTCAGAGAGTGTCCAGTTTTGTCTCTCTCATCTAGGCCACATTGCTGTCTGTTGTCAATGACCTCAAGCTTCTATTTTTAAAGACTTGATCTTGTTAGGCCTTCTTAAAATTTCTCTTATCTTTTTTGTTATTGAGAAGAAAATGTTTCTGAGTTTGCTAAGGTGGAATAACATCCACTTACCTACATATTAAATGATTTAGTAAGCTGGCACCAATCATCGCCAAACGCCGAACCCCCAAAATTCAGGAGCAGTACCGCAGAATCGGAGGCGGATCCCCCATCAAGATGTGGACTTCCAAGCAAGGAGAAGGCATGGTGAAGCTGCTAGATGAGTTGTCCCCGCACACAGGTACAGTGTTTCTTAATTAACAGCTCCCTAGGGTTTTTTCTTTCAAAATAGTTATGAAATTCAAAACCCTGTTGGATGCCAAATGCAGTTCTTTGTATTGGCAGCTCTCTATTTGTGGGAGTTCCTATGTCATACAGGGTCACTTAACTCAGTTCTCGAGGCATTATCCTTTGTCCTTGGCTGTATAGCCTTTTCTATTACTTCCTTATGTTGCAAATAAAAAAGCTGAAGATTTGGAACATTAGTTTCAAAAGGAAGTTTGAGGTGTGTGTTAATTTGAGCTAGATTAATAGGAAGAGGCTACATATCATGGAGAACAGGTGCATATATCATGCCCTGGAAAGAAGTCTTTTGGAAATGGATTGAGGCTGCTGCTATTGCCTTTTCTTTCTGTGTGAATAGCTAATTAGATCAACATTTAGAGCACAATTAGCTGGCTATCGCTGCAGCCATGGGACTCGAAGCAACTTGCAGCAGTCGGCTCTCGGCAATACCACCATTGTGAGGCATTTAAGTGCCTTATCGGATGTGATACTAAAAAGAGCATTGCAGTTGGTAGCTGTCCTCTGAGAACGTCTAACACAGAATGATAACATGCAGAATGAAACACTGCAGGAATGAACTGTAAATGCATATTTAATCTCGTTCAAGACGCCGTTGAGTGCAGGTCACACATTGTCCTTATATAATATGAGACACAAAAAACTTTTCCAGTTAATTTTAAAACAGTATCTGTTGTAGAGGCAGACCAATATGAGGAATGTTAAAACAAAAAACGTGCAGCTTAGGACACATGAAATACATTAATTGCAGATACATTTTAGGGCTTCAGGATAAGGACAGGAGTGTGACACAGTGGCCACCCTCCAAGAGCAGCCGTGCTAGGTAGGACCAAAAGCATTTCCTTCTCTGAGAAGACATCATTGAACGTCAGCTCAAGTTGCTCTCAGGGTCCAGTGTTTCCCATCATGTGCAGGGACAAAGGGCTCTAGCCCTCAGTAGATCATCTCACTTGGAAAATTGTTCAATTGCGCTTCTGAATATTAGGTTTGCTTCCTGCCTTCGGTTGTGGCTCAGGGGCATTTCTTATACAGTTCAGCCACACGTGCCACGATGTATCTTGTAAAATGTTTGGAGAGGGAAACTTGGCTGACCTCTACTCACACCTACTTGACAGAGAACAAACCGTCTGGTCATTAACAGTTTATCATAATAAAAGGTTTAGCATGAATCAGATCTGCAATTGCTACGCTGTCTTCAGTGGAAAAGGGAGGCAAGCAGATGCCATTTTTTCTGTGGATGTGTTAGTATAGTACTCATCACCATAAAGGACCCCCGTAGAGCTGTCAGCCTTAGAAAGCAATACAGATGGAAGGTGTGCCTTCCACCTCCTCCTCTCTCTGGTGAGGCTGCTGGGTTTCCAGACCAGGCAGGAAGGTGATGGCCTCGGCCTCCCAGGGTGGCCTGGAAAGAGTCCCATCGAATGGCCTGGATTTAACCCAGTGTCCCACTTACTATCAAACATCTGATCATTTTATTATTTTTTATATATATTATTATCATTATTTTTTGAAATACAAAGTTTATATAATAAGCCAATTTTTGCCAAATTCCCATTCTAATAGGAATTGTTAATAATGATCAAGAGGGCCGGCCCCGTGGCTTAGCGGTTAAGTGCTCGCACTCTGCTGCTGGCGGCCCGGGTTTGGATCCCAGGCGCGCACCGACGCACTGCTTCTCCGGCCATGCTGAGGCTGCGTCCCACATACAGCAACTAGAAGGATGTGCAGCTATGACATACAACTATCTACTGGGGCTTTGGGGGACAAATAAATAAATAAAAAAAATTAAAAAAAAAATAATGATCAAGAACATCTAACACCGTACTTAGTACATGGAGTGTTTAAGGGATGTAATTCAGTTCAGACCATGACTGGTTAAGGTAGGTGTTACCTCCGTTGTAGAGATGAGGGAACAGATACAGTTAAGTAACTTGACTGAAGTCACACAACTCGTACCTGATACCGGACAGTCTGGTTTAGAGCATAGCTTTCAAGTGTTCTGTAATTCCTTTCTATGCAAATGACTGCTCTACAAATTTACATCACTTGGTGTTCTGACTGTGTGATCATATGATCATTTTAATATGTGGCCAAAGAGAGGAAGTACAAAGAGAGGAAGTTACAAGCATCTAGAGTCTAGGATTAATTATCCCCTGCTTTGATAGGGACCAAAGAATAATAATATCTACTTCATATTTTCATAGTCAAGATTGTTGTAGGAGTAATTTTTAAAGAAAAATCAGTTATTAAGCATTCTTATAGAGACTTATAGGAAAAAAAAAGTTATTTTTCATTATAACTTTGGGGATAAGTTTAGGGTATCCATGAAGCACAAATCAGCTCAGTGGCTTGCCTGTTCAGTCACTAGATTGTTACTAAGGTGACAAGAAATCTTTCCTCCTTTTTTGTTCCATTCACTTACCCATCTGATCACTCACTCGTGCACTCTTTCATCCAGTAATTCTCACATCCATCCATTCTTCCGTCCGACCACCACCAGATACTTACAAGCACTGACCACATGTCAGGTATAGTGACAAGGGATAAAGTAGTTAATAAGTCACACCCTTACCTTCGTGGAGCTGACTTTCCTGGTAGTTTTCACTGAGGCAAGGAGTAAATTCTCTTGGGGGGTACTTTTGGTTTCTCTGGATCTTGGAACCTCATCCAGGGCCTGGTCTTGGGAGGACGTTGGTACTGATGACCATTTGGCATATCACCATCCTCTATGGCCCATGGTTGGGACTCTCTGAGGCAGGCAAGTTAAATTACTGCTTTTTCCTGTGTGGTGGATGACCACCTAATTATTTTGGCAGGCCTGCTTTGGCGGTATGGTAGTGGTCCTTAGTGAGGCACAAGACCACCCACTCATTCATTCATCAGTGGCCCTTTGAGTGCCCTGCACTGTTTGATGCCGCTATTCAAAGTCAAAAAGCATGGTTTCTACTTACAAGGCGTTTCCAGTCTAGTGGGACCTTGCTGCTGCAGGCTGGTCTGCTTGAGGGGCAGAGAGAAAATCTTTTGAAGACATTTTGCAGAGATGCTCTACAAAACGTCTATGAGGGCTGATGACACACAGAGTGTGGATGTAGGAAACATGAAGTAGCCTCGAGGTTTGGAAACTTCTTTGGGGGAGCTTTGCATTGAAGACCAAGAAGATCACAGGTCTGGCTCTGTGGCTTCTCAGGGGCTCATCCAGATTGCCTGGAAAGAAGTCCCTTGTCCTGCTTCTCTCGCTCTGCTGAGTGGACCTGAAGCTTGGCGATGCAGACCCAGGTGCCTCTTGGGGTGGGTATAGCAGTCAGTTCCCTTCCTCCCTCCCTGCTTTGTGCTGCTTTTCCTGCCTGCTTTCTGGTTTCTTTCTTTCTCCCTCTCTTAGTCTCTTTCTCATTCCTCCTCTCTTGTTACACTTTCTTCCCTACAAAATTATTCAAGTTTACTTTTGAACTATGTCTGTTTGGAAAAGTTCTCTTTAGGCAAAAAGTGATGATTACAAACAGATAAAAATGCTTCATGCTCTCATTTTTTAGGAAAGTGGTTGTTGCTTGGTAGCCAGTATAGAAATTTTGAGACTTGCACTGGCTTTGCAGAGAATTGACCAATTAACTAATACAGTGAATTATATTCATGTGCCGCTTAACCATGGGGATACGTTCTGAGAAATGTGTCGTGAGGTGATTTCATTGTATGAATATCATAGAGTGTACTTACGCAAACCTAGGTGGCATAGCTTCCTACACACCTAGGCTATGTGGTACTCATTTTATGGGACCACCGTTGTATACGTGGTCTGTTGTTGATTGAAAAGTTATATGGCGCATGACTGTATATGAGGGAATACAACTTGGAATTGGTTTAATATAGTTATGCTGCATTGCAGTAATTTAGGGAATACAGAAAGAAAGAGATGAGAAGTGTAATTATTTCATGAAAAGTCTAAATCTCAAAATATAAAAAAGTTTAGTTATGTAGATTATGACTACTTTTAGTGAAGTTGTAGGTAAGTGCTACTCAGTAGAATAATTCAGTTGTTCTTTGCAAGATGCATAATGGAGAGGAGCATGGGTTCTTGTTCAAATGGAGCTGGCTTCCGCCCTCCTGGTTGTATGATTTCAGGCAGATTACTCACCCGACTAAGCCTCATTTTGAAAATGGGGATGAGAACAGAACCTAACTCCTAGAATCATTGTGAGAATTAAATAAGATAGTTGTGGAAGGCATTACTGTGCTGCATGGTACATGACAAAAATTCATTAAATGTGAGCTTTTGTTATAATTCATCGTAGGCATAGGGTTCATGATCTGTTACAAATTAAAAGGCATTATGCTGTATATTTCAAACTTCTCTCAGTCATGTACAGATCAGACATTGGAACTATTGTACATGCTAAACTAATGGGCTGGAAATTAATGAAGTTTTACTGTTTAAAAATCTGGTTTTTCTGTTTGTTCCTTTTTTTCCTTTTTGTTGTTCTCACCCGAGAGTGTTCACTGAGCAGCCGCTTTGAGGGTAGACTAGGCCAGGCCAGCAAGTCATGTGTTTTGAAGTCAGTCTGGCCAGATGTGCCCACGGGGTGTGGTGCTGGTTTAGATCCAGGAGGCTCCTTCTCGCTGTGCTCCTGCTGGGGACAGCCAGCTACAGAGGGAGATCTGTCCCGACCGGCAAGGAGCCTTCGTGAACTCTTGTCATTTCCTCAGTATAGGCCCAGTTGGAGAGAGCACATGGTCACTTTTTCTACAATACGTTTCTGCAGGCCATCGTTAATTGGACAGTTTAGAAAGCATTATCTGTTCTTTCCAGAGTGTTCGACTGTCTCTCGCTTTAAAATGTGGTCACCACCCTGCCTTTATCTGTGAGGGCAGCCTCTCCACCTGTCTTAGGCTGCAGTATTTGAGGAACTCCCAGACGCCAGGCATTTTAGGCTGCAACTTTCAAATACCGGACAGGTGAAAAGAGCACGTGAGGAGCTGGTTGACCTGCAGCTCTGGCGGCTCTTATTATGTCAATGTGATGATTGTATTGCTTCAAAATAGACTAGAAAGCAGATTCCACTTCAACCTCAGCTCATATCACCAAGAGCTCCTTAAAAATGCACTTGCTGTGGGGCCGGCCTGGTGGCGCAAGTGGTTAAGTGCGCGCGCTCCGCTGCGGCGGCCTGGGGTTTGCCGGTTCGGATCCCGGGTGTGCACCGACGTACTGCTTGGCAAGCCATGCTGTGGCGGCGTCCCATATAAAGTCGAGGGAGGTGGGCACAGATGTTAGCCCAGGGCCGGTCTTCCTCAGCAAAAAAAGAGGAGGATTGGCAGATGTTAGCACAGGGCTGATCTCCTCACACACATACACAAAAAAAATGTACTTGCTGAGATTGTGATAGTTGGCAGTTTAGCATGAACCACAAAATTTTTGAACAGTTAGTCGTTTGGGGTTGGCTTGCAGGGTCCCCCTCTGCTGTGTTTTAACTGCAGTTCACCATACTTTATGCAAAAGACCACAAAATTGGTGGCCTAGATGATTCTGTTTATGCCCTTCCTTCCTCTTTGTAGACTCCAACCAGAGAATATCTAATCAGACTGTCCTTCCCGTGCACAGACGTGCTTCTTTCTCCCATCGGTATTTTGCTTCTGTCTTTGGTAACATGCTCCATTGATTCACGATTCCCGGGGTCAAGTTATTGAGGAAGGTTTTATTTATATTTATATATTTTATATATGTAAAACATTATGTGTGTGTGTGTATATATAATGCCCCTGCTAATGCTTGAACAGTAATGTCATCTTAGGTTTACTGTTACTTAATGTTTATGTAGTATTTTCCATATCATCCCTGGGTATAAGTTAGGTGTAATTCTATGAAAAGACAAGGACACAAAACTGGGTAACTTTAGGATACTTTCAGTTTTATGATTTTATAAATGCCTGAGGAATTGTGTGGTTGCAGATGTTTTTACAACATAGGGGGAAAATTACAAGAGGATAAAAGAGGAGGCAGAGAGGGAATTAGTAAAGTGGTGGGGAAGGAACACAGAGACACGCACTGACTTGGGCCATTTAGGTGCCAAGAACAGTTATTTTAAATCCCAGTTGGTGCCTCCAATTTAAGAATTGTTGTTGGATTTTTTTCATGTATTAAATGAGAATCATTTCAGTCATTTGTTATCAATGGACTTTTAGTGAGTATCCCTAGTTTTATGCAGACTAGGTGCCCTGGGGTCTAAGGGAACTCAGCTGGTGGAAGCAGGCTGGGGGCATGGAAGGAGCATGGGCTTTGGGGTGAGGAGACCCATGTTATAATTTCAGCCCCACCATCTGCTAGGTGTGACTTTGGGCAGGTTCATTAACCTTTGAGAGTCTCTGTTTCCTTATCTGAAAAATGGGGTCTAAATGAGAAAAAAAAAAAAGTGAAATTTCTATTCTGGTATCTGGTACCTAAGAGGAGGTTACACTTTAAGAATAAGTGCTAGTTCTTTCCTCCCTTCTCTTGAGTCTCTCTTATCTCAGCCAAGAGCAGAGAGTAAGGCACAGAAGCTTGAGTTTTAAAAACCAAGTGCTAAGTAAAGGTGTGTGTGTCGGGACAGGGACATTGATCCCAGAAAATAGTGATGACAAGTCCATGTACTAGCTGAAGGAAGCCTGGGTAAGATCCAAGGAATATTCTAAACTTGCCACATTATCAGCATCACAGGAAATTAGGTTAACTGTTCTTTGTTGTGGGCATTGCATTGTGTTTGGTGATTCCAAGGGATCTGTATAAAGATTAATACTTTCTCCTTTCCACGCATGCTTCCTAATAGCCCCTCACAAATACTATATTGGATTCCGGTATGTCCATCCTTTAACAGAAGAAGCAATTGAAGAGATGGAGAGAGATGGGCTTGAAAGGGCTATTGCTTTCACACAGTATCCACAGTACAGCTGCTCTACCACAGGTAAGGGCTTCTCTTTGACAGTGGGAAGGTAGATGTGGCCCTGGCAGAAATATCTAGAGAACCTGAGTGCAGAATGAAAGAATAAGTCATTTTCGATTTGAATGGCAAATCCAGCATATCTGCTTTAAACACGAGAGTTCAAGTCAGTCCATTTGAAATCTCATGGTTCATCTGTCCCTTGAGTTATTGGCCAGTCTGCTGAGAATTACAAATGGTGGGTGGAAGGCAGTGGCTGCTAGTGTTCCATGCTTTAGTGCAGTTATGTAATAGATCAGTAATGAACCTTAAGCCACTTTCTACGTTTGTGTAATAAACCTTATTTTTATGGCTACCCTAATATTCTTATTAATGTAGCAAAGATGATAGCTGCTTTCATTTTGAAAGCAGAGGTGCTCATATAACATTGGAAATATTGGTATTTTTTTGTTATGTTTCAGTTATGGGTTGGTTACTGGTTAAACCAAAGCCCAGTGAGGGGTTCCTTTGTAAACTTCTCTTAGTGTTCTAGATTTTGGAAAATATTACTATTTGTTGTTTCTTATATATTTAACTGGAGCTGGAGAATAATCTGTGTTTGCCAATCTCTATCATTAATTGTAAGTAAAGCTTCTACTGTCACACACAAATACATTTTCCTTCTACACAAATACATTTCATTGTATTTCAAGGATTGAGGTCAGCACATTTTTACTCTCAAATTGCTTTTGTATATTATTATATATCATTTCTGTATCTATAAGGAGAATCAAAACTACTGGAACACATATTCAAAGCCTGTTGTGTGCTTTAAATATTTGTTCAAAGCACCTGTGAAAACGCCTGAGTTCTCAGACACCCTCAGGAGTTTGAACTGTGATTTCTTTTGGAAATGTACCCCTGCAGCTTCAAAATGTCAGGTAATCTACTGGAGAAGAAATCAGATTTTATAAATTTCTAAGCTATACTTTTGCCTTGCTTTAAAAAATATACCTCGACATGTAAATGTCTGCTCTCGAAATTAGACAAGTTAAGAAGATGGTTATTCATATGACAAAGGGTTGACTGCGGATTTCATTTGACAGCTGGCTCCACTGGTGTGTAGAACGTCAGTGTCTGTGTAGTTGTTCTCCAGTACCTCTCACGTGTAAGGGGCAGGTATATCTTCACTTCAGGGATCTGACAGCCTTGGGAAGTACATTCTTTCTTTGAGGCCACCAGAGTGTTGTTTACCTGTACATCATTTAGACACACATCGTTGTGGCAGAGCCAGTAGATTCTATGTATCAATCACAAGCAATTTTTTTAGTTCTGTTTTCCCTTAATTACTACTTCTGGTGGTTCATCCAGTGTTTCTGAGTGACCCGGTAGAACTAATGTGGGTTTCAGAAGTCCTTTTGAACATCTGAAAATGATATTCATCTGTAAAATGTGGTTTGCAGTGTGAATATGGTGTCGACTACTTTGTGATTTCTGGAGAGATTGTTTTTGAACCTGGAATGGATGCAATTTGGATTTATCTGACTTGTATTCTACTCACCAAAATGGAACTCATTTATTTTTTGAAAATTGAGTTTTAGCCTAAGAGTACATTTGATTTAAATATGGCTTTGTCCTGACTAGCATTTTAATTTAGAGACCTAACAGATTAATAGCTTTCATAGTTAGAGAAACCAGTGGATTGGTGTTGGAAGCATGGAAATGTTTTGGAAGGTTTGCCCTGTGTTAAGATTGAGGAAGAGGCCCTGTGTTGGGATTGGTTTCATAGGATTAAGGCTTGGCCCTGTTGCCGGCTACCCTAGGCCAGGAAAAAGTTGCATAAGGTTGGTACCATCTGCCTTCCTTTAGTCTTTGAATTTTCCTGATTTCTACCTCTTGCTTAGAAATACAAGTTTTGTTAGATTACCTGTGAAGATTTGGTATCCATTTAACTTATTCTAGGGAATGATGATAATTTAGTAGGAGCAGATAAAAATAGAGAGTGCTCATGGAAACTTCAATCAGCTGCTCTCCATAAGCTGCTCTTCTCATCAACCAGCCATTAAAAAGATGAGTTATAAAGCTTTTATTGTAATGTGGGAAATGTGCCTCTTATAATGTTAAGTAAAAATAGCCCAAATATTCAGGATACAAAATTGCATATCTACTAAAATTACAACTTTGTAAAACAAAACAGCTATAAAGAAAAATAATTGAAAAGAACTATGCTAGAATAAAACAGTGACTTGTATTAGCATGCTGGGATAATGGCCAGGTTCTTTTTTCCTTTTTTACTCACCCCCTACGTTTTCTGTAATGGGGTTGATTACCTTCATAATGGGAAAAAAAATTTAACATACTTTCGAGTGAAAGACTTGGTCCCTGCAAATAACGACTACTTATATTTTGTAAATCCACCTCCATCGTGTTTCTCACTAGAAATGGCCTCAATAATCTTCTAAAGGCGTTTGAAATTGATTGCTCTTTAGTAATCTTCACTTGCAGGGTAGTTAAATCTATCTGCATTTTAGAGTATTGAGATGATTGTAATTACACTGATTCAGTATAGAAGCAGTTACCTATTTTGAACTTATAATTACTGCCTTTACTAGTCTGTTTTTTATTTTCACCATAATCAACATGCGTCTACTAAGCGGCCCCCTGTATATTTCAGGCAGCAGCTTAAATGCCATTTACAGATACTATAATGAAGTGGGAAAGAAGCCTACGATGAAGTGGAGCACTATTGACAGGTGGCCCACACATCCCCTTCTCATTCAGGTAAGCCAGCACCTGCCAGCAGCCCCTGTCTCCCCAGCTTCTGGTGCAGGTCAGATTCTTGTCTTTGCCTGGTTTGTGGGGGTCCTTCTGAGCTGTACTGTAGTTCTCTTGCTTAAATTGGGTTCTGGGGATTAACGTATTAGAGTCTTGATTTATTATGACAAGAGAAAATAAATTTAAAGGTAACGGTTAGATTCTTTTTTTCTTCAGATTAATATCGTTAGTCACAAACCGTAGCAGATTTATATTTTGAGTTTTGTATTTCCCAGTGACCAGAAGAATGTTAAAGATTATGTGAGGTGTTTCAGCTAATTCACATTCATAGATTGAATGACTGACAAATAAATCGTCTATTTTCTAAATCCTTTAAAATGTCAAAAGATTAAAAAAATTTAAAAGCAATGAATCTACGTGTTCTGAAACATGAAAATACGTTTATTTCAATTGAGAAAGTTTCATTTATTAGAAGAAATTTCAAATTTCTCCTACACAATTATATTTATAATATTTATATTAGTAGATGATTTTAGGAGAATCCCTTAAAACTACAATTCTAAAGCCAATGGCTTTGAAGTGGTGTTTATTGTATACTTTTTTGCCCTTTGAATATCAGAGTGCTGTGGGTAATTGCCCTAAATCATACAAATATAGTATTGTTCGGTCTGCCTTTGAGTTAGTTTAGGTAGGAGAAATACTGAGTGATTTAGATTTCATCCAGTTTATGTTTCATTCCTTGGACCTTCTCTAACTGGCAAAATACCAGCTTAACTTAAAAAGCCTGGAGTCGTTAAAATCTGTAACCACTAGATGGTGCTAGACATTGTTAAAAGCAGGCCAGCTCTCCCCGGAGCAGACAGCGTTCCTTAGGCACAGAGATGAAGGCAAGGGTTAATGCTTAGACTGAAATCCAGTTTTAAGTAGAAATGAAAAGCAGGTGCCTTCCCTTAGGGATGGGTGTAGTTTTGGTCTCGGTGTGGTGTTCCCCCACTCGTTTACTCTGCTGGGTCCAGGCAGTGCCGCCTGGAGCTCCAGTGTGCCCTCTTTTGCTCTTCGAGGCCTGTAGTTGGAAATGAGGGGTGTTTCAGGTCAGCACTGACATGTGGTAGCAGAGAACGAGGGATCTGCACAGCATCTGCCTGCCCTGATCGAGTGAGTAATTAGATTTGCATTAAAATTCAGCCCTTTGAAAAGGGGGGAAGCAGAAAGATGGAAGGGTCTCTTAACTGAGGAAATCTCAGTTCATAAAATGAAAGGGAATTTTAGAGGCATTTATCTACCCTCCTAGATGATGTGATTGAAGGCTCTGAGAGCCCCCTGCCTCTTTCATTCTGCAGAGGGATTGCGCATAGAAAATACCGCAGATGGATTTTAGATGATTTAAATAGCACTTCTGCTTGCCCCCAGCTCCTCAGTTTGGCTGATGGCTTAGAGTCTGTTGTAAGCCATAAATAATTGTGTTTCTGCTTGCAGTTTTGCAAGATGAGAAAAGGAAAAATACTGACATTTTTTGGAAACAAAAGTTTATAGATAGACTTTATTCTTAATATTATGTAGATTATCTGAGGAGATTTGATATCTAGCAGAAATTAAAAACAAACCCTAAACTAAAACTAAAAATATAGTTAACAACTAAAACTAAAAATATTATTTTTAATCTACATTTCTACTTGTTATACATAGTAAATACTCAAAATAGTCATTTTACTACTGTCGTCTCTAATATTGCTGTTCATCTAGTGGTGGAGTAATTGGAGTAAATGAATCTTCTGGGCTCCTCTGTAAACTTTACAGTGGGCCTCCTGGTCTAGGCTTTAGTCCAGAAACAGTCCTTTCTGAGCATCCTTAGTTTCCAAGCACTGCAAAGAGCACCAGAAAATGTTGTTTTTGTTTGTATCTAATCTTATCAGATTTACTCTGTAGGTAAAATATAAATTTTGAAAAGAGAAATAACTCTCTAGGTACCATTTTGTACCTTAGTGCATTTATTTACCAAATTTTGAGGGTCCAGAAAGATTAATAATATCTTAATATTGATTAGGGGATAATTTGCTCTTCCTATAGTATTAACCACTGATATATCAAAATACCAACAAGTACAAATGTACATGGTTCTGGTAAATTGTCCTTTATAAGTTTTTAAAAACCTTTTTATTTGGAAATAATTTCAAACATGCAGAAAAATTACAGGACTAAGAATAGTATGAGGAACTTGACTCTTTGCTTAGATTCACATATTATTACCATGAATCCCACTTGCTTTATCATTTGCATCCTGTGTGTGTGTGTATGTATGTGTGTGTGTATATATACATATATTTTCTCCTGAACCTTTTGAGAGTAAAATATATAAAATCACCCTTTATACCTAAATAGCAGGTATATTCTCTTCCGTAACCATGATACAATATTCAACTTCAGTAAACTTAACATAGATACTTAGATTTATCTAACCTACATTTATATTCCACTTTTGTCAGTTGACCCATTAATGTCCTTTGTAGCATTTGCTTTGTAAGTTAAATGACAAAGAATGATTAAAGTATAAGATGAAAGAAAGCCTCTTCAGATCTGGTATTTCAGCACCTATTGATGTGAATCAGCAAGTGCCAGCTAGACGCTGGAATTCACTGGTCTGGCTGACAGAGATTTGGAGGAGGAGGCGGGGCCTGCGTTGTAGCCCAATTTCTACAGATGTGACTGATGGGACCCCAGGTCACTGCATCCTCCCACCTCTGTGAATTTAATGAGGTTGTACCACTTCTCGTCTGTTGTTATGAAGATTGACTTAGTGAGGATACTGGGCTCAGACGGAAAAGGTCATAAAAATAGAAGAGTATTTTCTTATTCCTCTGCTATTTCTGTCTAATGTGTTTTAATGTGATATGCCTAAAAGCCAAACTAAGGAAGATTTAGAAAGACCCTGTAAGCTGTTTTCCTGCTCACCGAGCAAATGAGAGATCTTAAAACAACTTCTTCCCATCTGTGTTTCCTTTCCATCTGGAAGTGTGCCCTGTTCCTCCCGAGGGGAAGCACATCCAGAGCATTCATTTTCAGTGAGCCATTAGCGAGCTTTAGAAGTTTCCCATCAAATTCCCTAGGCTCCTGAAACTGTTATGAGCCATTTTGATGATAAACCAAAGCAAGAGGAGACTGTACTGTTTGCAATTTTTTTAAAAGAGAGTTCCAATTTTTGAGAATTGCTGTGAGATTTTGGTTGTAGCTCTCATTTTAAAAATATTTTCTTTTCCTTCTATTTCTTTCTTCCCACTTCTTCCTTATCCTTCCTTTCTTGGTATTACCGAAGTGCTTTGCAGACCACATTCTGAAAGAACTGGACCGTTTTCCACTTGAGAAGAGAAGCGAGGTGGTCATTCTTTTTTCTGCTCACTCACTGCCAATGTCTGTAAGTAAGAACATTTTGTTGGATGATCTTGGGGTAGACGATTTCTAAATGTGTAAATGTGACCCAGCTTCCATAACTTCCCGAGCCCAGTGCAAGGATGAATTCTAAAATTGCAGACTTAACTTGGTGCTAATTTAACTAGACTCGTTTCTTGAAGCCTAATAACAATTAATTCAGATTATAATATTGTGACTAGATACTGTCTTAATGAACCCCTTTAAAATGACAACTTGAAGATATGTTCATATATAAGAATTTTTAGTAAGTGGGGCAGTTAAAAGAAGACTGCTTTTGCCTGCCCTGTTGTAGGAGCTCAGCCTGGTGTTTCAGTGTGTTGAATTGTAGGGCCTCCATTCACACCGAGTGCTTTCCATCCCATTGTTTTGTCAAGACTTGATAGCTAGCCCCTATCAAGTTCTTTGAATTCCAGAAAGTGATTACAGTTTTTAATTTGCTAAGACTTGGGACCACATTTTGGCAAGTGAATGTAGAGTGTATCAAGTTGTGATCTGATTGCTCCTTAGTTTATCGTAGTATACTGTGGGTTCATTAAAATACTGCATCTGTGCCATGGCTGTTGCCTTTTTGAAAACAAGAGTGGTCAAGCTAGTGTGCTGTATAGAAGTGCTTGGAATAAGCAGCAATTTCATCGCCTCAGAACTGTCATTGTGTCCTAAAAACATTGCTTTCAAAGCCAGAGAGGTGGAGAATTACATTTTCTTAGGTGTTATTAAGGTTTTAACTCCAAGGTTAATGGAGTTAACCTGCAAGTCTGGGGCCACTCTTCTAATTGGTTTTTACTGCCACCTGGTGGTCACCAGGGTCGAGCCCTTTGTAGCTTTTCCACTCCCACATCTCAACTAAGCAGTAGGTGGCTCTGGAGGTGAATTTCTCTCTTCTGGAAGCCTGCCTATTGTATTTTAAGAGTTCCTATTCTCTTTTCTGGTTTGTGCAGATCCTCTTCACATGTCCATCCTCCTGCTCCACCTCATCCTCTTTGTAACTGTCCTTCAGGTGATGAGGCCATGTCTGAAGTGCCAGAAGGGAAGCTCTTGAGCTGGGCAGGGAGGAAACACATTCTTTACATGAACAGTTCCAGGTGCTGCCTTCCCTCCTCTCACCCCCCAGGGCCTGAGCATACTGCTTCCAGGTTTTCTGCTGCTCCAAGGCCTGTGTGGGACTGAGGAATGCCGTGAAGTCATGGGGATAGGGAAGGGGTGGGGAAGACAGTGAGACTGTCGAGGAAGAAAACCCATCTAGCAAACTTTTCTTTTCCTCTACATTTACTTCTAATGACTCTTTTTTGCCCTTAGTGACTTTTTAAAAGCTTATTATTTTGGGGTAATTTTAGACTTACAGAAAAGTTGCAAAAATAGTACACAGAGTTGCCATATATGCTTCACGTGTCTTCGCCTAATGTTCACGTCTCTCATAACCATGGTGCAGTGATGAAAATGAAGAGCTGGGCAGTGTCGACACTGTTAACTGGAGGCCGGGCTCTACTCAGATTTCACCACTTCTTCCCGCAGTTGTCCTTTTTCTGTTGCAGGATTCAGTCCAGTATCCCACATCGCATTTAGTTGTCATGTCTCCACAGTAGCCTCCAGTCTGTGACAGTTCCTCATACTTTCTTTGTCTTTCGTGACCTTGATATTTTTGAAGAGTGAATATGTGGATGTCAGTTATTTTGTAGCATTCTCCTCCATTTGGATTTGTCTGGTATTTTCTCAGGATTAGATTGAGGTTATATATTATTGGGAAGAATACCCCAGGGGTGATCTGTCCTTCTCAGGGCATCCATCCTGTCAGGGGCGTGTGATGTCACTGTGTCTTACTGCTGCTGGTGTGGTCCTTGGTTATTTGTTTAAAGTGCTGTCTGTTGTATTTGTCCATTGTAAAGTAACTGTTTTTCTCTTTGTAATTAAAAATATCTTTGGGAAATGCTTTGAGACTCTGCAAATGTCTTGTTGTTCCTTGGCCTTTTGCCCACTAATTTTAGCGTCCATCAGTGGATCTTGCCTGTCACAATTATTTCTGTGCTGTTCTAATGGCTACTTCATATTTCCCTCATTCCTTCCACATTTATGTTTCTAATGGCTTTTTGACTAACTTTGAGTACTGTCATAAAATAGTTCATCAGTATTTCACGTCGACAGTATTTATTGAGCACCTACTGTATTCCAGGCACTGTTCTATCCACTATCATAGGACATGGGAATGAACAAAATAGACAGAAATCTTTGCCCCCAGAGAGGCAGGGGAATCATATAATAAACACACAACATAGGAAAATAGTGTGGTATGTTAGGAGGGAATATGTGTTATAGGAAGAAATAAAGCAGGGTAAGGGTGTTAGGGAGTCGTTACACAACTAAATATGAAAGCAGTAGAACTAAAATTTCTACTGAACCTTTCCAAAGGTGTTAACAAGCTGTTCTGACTGTCAGGAGCATTTATCAGACAGTCGCTGTGCACAAAGCATTTGTCTACAGTCCATTGTGGAAAGAGTGGGGAGAGAAAAGGGATGAGGAGGCACAGGTCATGTTCTTAAGGAGCCTGGAATCTGAACCCATATGCTGCTGCTTTCCTCTCTCTTATTCCACGAGCGTTTACCCCTTTTGTTACCTGGTCCCCATAAACTCGGTAGTTCTGTACATTGTCCATACAGCACTCTTTCAATTCCTGTTCTAAAATCAGCCACTCAAGTGACTACCAAGGTAGAAGTCCCATCCCACGTTGCCTCTTCCTGCCCAGTTTTTCTGTGTCGTTTCCCTCTTTCAGGTGGAGGACAAAGAGACCCGTCCCCCATCATTATACGTTGTCACTCTCCCAAGAATAACGTAGAACATAGAATCGGACATATTCTTAGGGACCTTAGAGATGACCGAGTGCAGTGTTCTCCTCTGGCCGATGAAGAAATGGAGCCGAGGAAGTTTGGCGATTGAGTCCAGATCATGTCGTCGTCAGTGCAGAAGACAGAAAGGGAGGGCTTGGTTGAGGGCTCACACCATCTCACCACACAATTGGAGGCTTCTCAGAACCCTTCGTGGTGCTGCCGACTGAACGCCCGTGTGTCTGTGCTGCAGGTGGTCAACAGAGGGGATCCCTATCCTCAGGAGGTGGGTGCCACTGTCCAGAGAGTCATGGATAAGCTGGGTTACTCCAACCCCTACCGACTGGTTTGGCAGTCCAAGGTAGGTGGCTCCCACAGGTTTGCAAACGGTCAGCTCTTTTGAGGAAGTCTAAACTAGGACTTAGTTATAAAACGATGAGATTTGACTCTCTCTTGTAGACAGAATGTTCTGTAGCCTGATTGCTCACCGTGGGTGGAAAGAACTCTGTAAGCAAATAAAGTGGAGGGGAAATCAAATGACTAGTTGAGTTCTGTTGATTTAATATATTGTTTCTAGTTGTAATGACGGAAATTGTTATTTATATTCTACCAACTTCTAGAAGTATTCAAGCTTAATGTAGAAATAAAAAAACCCATTAAAGCAGGTGTAAAGTATGGCTCTCGCTCTTAGAGGGAGGTGTGTGTGTGCCCAGGGCAGTGGGCTATGATGTGTCATAAACATGGCGTTCATCCTCCTTTCTCATAGGTTGGTCCGATGCGCTGGCTAGGTCCTCAAACAGACGAGACTATCAAAGGGCTTTGTGAGAGGGGGAGGAAGAATATTCTTTTGGTTCCAATTGCTTTTACCAGCGATCACATTGAAACACTGTATGAACTGGATATCGAGTACTCGCAAGTTCTAGCCAAAGAGGTAAATGCTCCCATCTGGCTTATTAATCCCATTGTAATTTGTTTTAAAAGGAAACTTTCTCTGCAATGATCTAATTGTATCATTCAAAAATATTGTCTGGTACATGTGTTTGCGTGTACTGTGTCTTCATTGTTCTAAATAACACTTAATCTGAGTAATGCTCTGAATACATCAAGGTAATTCTGTGTGGGAAAGCATTTTTGTGCCTTTCTGAAACCAGGTGGCCCACTGCAGGCAATGTCATTTTGTTTAGTTTGAGTTACTGTACTACTTGAAAGTTATAATAACTACATTTCCTTAAGAAAAAATAATTGTACTTCTCACCGGTTTGGAGGGAAAAATTTTTATTGTTCTGTAACTCCTTTTCTTTGCCTAATAGTGCCCTTTACTTGGGGGCTATCACACTGCTTTTCATTGGGTTTTCGAGGCATATAGGAGTCATTGTCATTTAAGAGAAGAGCGTGGAATAAACGAAGCAATGTGTGTTGTAATTTCCTTGACCTCTTTTATACACTCACTCAATTAGTTGTTTGCTACTATGTTGTGATCAATCTGATTACTGAAATAACAAATACCATCCTTAGTGTCTTGTAATATAAGATGGATGTGAGTTGTCTGTCAGGGTGGAGAAAAACTATTGTTCACCCATCTCATGGCTTCTGAGGGCCGGCCTGAAACCTGACTCTGATTTATAGCGTTGTTTCTATGGGAATTGTGGAAGCGTTGGACCCAGGAAGCCCTTCCTCCCTCATCTGCTGCCAGAACTCCTGTCCCTGGTCATCCCATGGGCGACTGATGGAGACCTGGCCTCAAAGGATACTTCACCCTCTCTGGGACTGGGTGGCAGGTGCAGGGCAGGGTGGAGAGTGGGTTGGGGAAGTTTAGCCAGCATGCAGCCCCACAGGTTTTTGTGTATTCATGCTGGTCATCAAGCATCGCTGAAGTTCAGGAGTGCCTAAATTACTTGTCAGTAGTTCTGATAAGGAAATTATGGGAAAGTTGTAATTGGCTAAAATGAGGTTGCAGGATTGTCTATGGATTTCACTTAACGATGCCTCCTGTATCCCACCGTGACCTTGGCTAATTGTGAGCCCACTAAAAAGATTTAAGTGCAAATATAGTTCATAGTAGTGTGTTTGGAAAACAAATTTTTGTTTGTATTGAATGATAATTCACATTCATTCATATTATTAAACTGAGGTCATGACTTAGTAATCAAATGGATTATTAATGATTAATAAATTAGTCCATATAGAGAATAAAGAAAACCATTGAGCTACAATTTATTTCATTATTTTGACTGGAGAATATACTGCGTTTAAAACAACTAACTTTATTTAAAAAATAGTTTGAATTTTTTCCCCAGATGGGAATAACTTTGCTTTTTGATAATAAAAATAATAAAGAGCTCAGACAGTTGAGAGAAGTATAAATAGAGTACAACTCACTCTGAATCTTACCCCGCAGAAATAATGTGTTAATATTTTGATAAAAATAAGTCCCCTTTCTCCTCTGTGTGTATTTTAATTAAAATGATATTCCTCTACATGTTTAACAAAAATCATATTTTATTCATACTGTTTTGTAACCTTTTTTTTCCTTAAAAATATATTATGGACCCAAATCAATAAGTATAATTAGTTCTATGTAATTATTTTTAACAAATCCTTGATTAGTATACATTTAACATATTTCTAATTTTTTACTATCATAAACTGCTCTGTAATAAACATCATTTTCTTTTTCATTTTCCAGTTATTTTCTTAGGATAAATTCCTAGAAATGCAATTTAAATGTTGGTACATATTTTACTGGATTGCCCTACAGAGATGTATCCTTTCATAGTTTGCCAACACGGGTTATCTTGCTGTTACTGACTTCTCCATGAAGTTTTAGAATACAGTCTTTTTAAGTTGAGAACTGTGTGTTTGCTGAATCTCTGCATTTTTCCCATGCCAGTTTCCTGATGTTGATGCTAACTTAAAAGATAAAGCGGCTGAAAAGTCATCAGCATTTTGGAAAGGGAGAGAGAAGATCCTAACTACCTGAGTAAATAATAATTAGATATTTCTCAATTATTTGGGAGATGATTAACTGAATATTTTTGGAGAGGGGAGCAGGGATGGTAATGAAACAATCCTCAGATTTTTATTTTAGGTTTTTCTGTATAAGAATATATTTAAAATCCCAACTCTGATTGGATCCAATCTACGTTCAATACAATTAAAAAAGAATGGTAAGCCGATTTAAATTACTTGAGAATTCTATCAAATACAACCTCAACAATGGTTTGGAAGCAAGGCACCTATGCGAAGGTAGTAGGGTGGAGAGGGAATAGAAATTGAAGAGCAATTCTATGGTAACAGAGGTGAAAATCAACGTTTGTGCTCGGTCCGTAACCGTTTTCCATTTCTGAGCAGTTGGGGGACACTTTTGAAGTAAGACTTTGAGTTGTGTGTGTGTATCTGTGTTTGTGTTTATTTTTTTGACAGAAGTCAGTTTCTTTAAAAAAACCAAAAGGAAAATAAAATGTGTATGTGTTTTTCCTCCCTTTTCTCATTTGATTCAGTGTGGAGTTGAAAACATCAGAAGAGCAGAGTCTCTTAATGGAAATCCATTGTTCTCTAAGGTATCCATAGTGTTACAACCATTTCAGTAGAACATATCGGAGACTAATCCTCTGAGAAACTCCTACAGAATATTGGTTTTCTCACATATTAGAACATTTTGAGTTCCAATTAATTACAAAAGTAAAATCGAATTCCTTATACTCTCCTTTTTCCTTTAGATGGCCCCAATTTTCTTATTTCTACCCACCTATGTCTAATTTAAAATCTGCCTTTCAGAGACAAGGTTTAGCAGGTGGGGTAAGAGGATTTCATTTTCTAAAATCTCTATTTTAAGTTTTCTCTAAGCTGAGGATTCTTAAGAGAGGAAGATATTATAGAATTTGGTTCAAAGGATTCATAATTCAGATTAAAAGAATCCCCAAGCCATAGTGATTATCTGGGCAGATGGGAGGGGAAATGCGTGGGGAGATGAGCAGACTTTTCGCCTCTGATGAGTCTTTGCTTCTTGTCGTCCGTCCTCCAGGCCCTGGCAGATTTGGTACACTCGCACATCCAGTCCAACGAGCTGTGCTCCAAGCAGTTGACTCTGAGCTGTCCGCTCTGCATAAATCCTGTCTGCAGGCAGACTAAATCCTTCTTCACCAGCCAGCAGCTGTGACCCCGCAGAGGACCCGTGGGATTAGGCAAATGCTGGACCTCCAGATACCTCCAATGCAGAGGAGGACGTATTTAGAGACCAAGGAGGGAAGTGATATTAGTGTATGTACGGCCTTTGGACACAAATTATGTGATTTCTTGAGGAACAGACTCTGACATCCTTATTGAGGGTTTTCTGTTTTTATATACCAAAACAGTAAGCATTATATCCCTCACTCTGGGTGAAGTGACTAGCTTGGAATGTCCACTAGGCTATTTAAAAAATGAGTTTTAAAAATTTATCTTATGAAATACGTATTTTAAATATAGATTTTGGTTTTATTGCACAGAAAACCTCCTGCAAGGGTACAGAGAGTCCCCTCTCTGGGCTGACTGTGAATGAGATCTGTTTACAGTCTCATACCTTTAGTTGTTTTTTTACGTGAACGTAGTTGAATAAGTGAAGTATAATTTGAAGAGGAAATGTTACCGAATCTTGCCGTGAGCCGCGGGTGGCAGAATGCCGGCGAGCGGCGCAGGTGCTTACAGTGGTGCTTCTGCCAGTGCTGTCATGCTAATTGGTCATTTTGGTACTTGTGTGTGAACCTCACTTTCCTCACCACACAACCAAACCAAGTACAGGTTCCAAGAGTACTTTGAGATTCCCCAGACACACAAGGCTAAGAAACGTGTAGAAACCCAGCGCGTCGTCCACGCCTTGGTGGGAATCTGGAGCCGCAGGAAAGGGGCTCCGGCTGCTTGCTGCCTCCCAGGACAGCAGTCCGGGGAACGCTAACCATGGGCTTCATCTTTAAAGCTCCTCCCCGGGACCCAGCGAGCCTTCCATTGAGCATCTTCCTTATTTTGGGTGAATGTCTCCTTTCTGCATATTTGTTTGAATTATTTTATAAAGTTAACTGTGTTTTGTAAGCTTGAATTCTTCCTTCATTTATAACTTTTTATTACAAAAATTATATAACATGCTATAGGAACTTTGAAAAATAGAGAAAAGACAGCTAACCACTCAACTGCAGTAGCCATTAATCATATTGTATTTCATGTCAGTCTTTTCCTTTCCTGTGGATATTTTTAATGCCATTGTAATCTTGAATTTTTGAGTGAAAAGTTGTTCTAAAAACGTAGAAGTAATATAGGATCAGAATCTGATCTTCTATACTTGGATTTAAATGGATTAAAAAGTCTCTGATGGATCCATAATGAATTTGTAATGGTTGCTTTCTCTTTCCTCATTGCCTAAAACTTTGTTCTTCAAAAGAGCATTTCTTTGATTTTTTTAAAGCCAGTTCATAGAGTGGAAGTATTAGAGGACTCATAGATCTTCTACATTCAGATTTACTATGTTAATAAATATTATGACATCATTAAGGTTTTAACCCATTTGATTCATGCTCTTGGTTAAAAAAATGCTAATCTAAATTGTTAATAATCAAAATTATTAAATAGGAATTTACTTTGTAATACAGGAAAAGAACTGTGCCATCCACGTTAGTTAATAGTTTTCCTACACTGATAACGGCTCTGAAATTTGAGAAGCATCTACATTTTTTTTTCCAAATTGGTTTTCCTGTTAGTAGATTGTGTTTCCAGAGAAAGGTACAAGGCATAGATGGTTGTTTAGAATTTTCCTCTATCCATTTCTATCAGCTTTTGGCGATTAGGTTCAAGGTAGACTTTGAGTGACTGTCCCACAGTGAGGTGGGTTCTCTGGGTTAGTGGTGTGGCACTGGAAGGCAGGTTATGCTTGCAGCCGTTGTCCTTCCTTCTGGAAATTTGCTGAGGGCTTCCTTCACTTCAACTGCTTTAGAGTTGAATATACATTATGATGGAGAAGTTGCAGAAAACTCCAATTCAGGAGCTTTTGCTAGGGTATCTGCTAAGGAAACTTCCCAATGAACAGTGACTGAGCTGTCTGGAATAATATCCTTGATTCTGAGTTGGGACCAGACCAGCCTTTGTAGAGAGAGGCAAAAGGGGATTTATTGGGATCACTGTCCATGGCATTTGTTGTTCTAAGAAGTGTTACCTCTGACTGTTATTAACCAAAGATGGGAAAGGGACAAAATCAACGAGTGCTCTTTTTAGAGCTAGTGGTTTTTGAGAATTGTTACCCTATTTGTGGACTTGGAAATACAAATGTTTGCCCTGGTCGTTAGCTCTGCTCTGCTGGCCGTTTCCTCAAGCTGCACTTGCACAGACCTGGCTTTACCTGATGAATCGATGTATAGAGACAACTTGCAGGAGCTGTGATGATGAGGAAGTTTAGCTTGCCAGGGTTACTATGAGGCCCAGGTCCCTAGATGAATCGCACAGGAGGAGGGAACTCTTCCCTTTAAATATATGTCAGTGGCTTGTTGGTGCTGACTAAATAGTAAATATCCATGACTTTTCCTGATAATACCTCAGAGTACACAGTCCTTGCTCAAGTAATCCCATGAGCAGAATGTAACATTTCTCTAGGATTCTGCTAAATTTTTCTTTATGGCTGAAATTATTTGGACAAGGATGGTTATGTAGGTATGAAGGGAAGGTGGATTTTCTGCTCCAAGTGGCCCAAACTCAGCCTGTCAGAAGGCACATTATGTTAAACCTACATTTACATTAGGTCGTTTACGTGTTCAGCTGATTTTAAACATACATTTTTCCTTTTTTTTTCTTCTTGATTTCGGGGAAAATACTCTGATTTGTTGAGATGAATCTCAGAATAAAGTTGCTGCATCTTTTTTCCCCTCAGCTACCTGTTCTCATGATCTGGGTATTTAATTCAAGAAACCCTAATTTAAGGTATTTTAAATTTCAGGTATTTTAAACCCTAATTTAAGAGATCATTTGCTCAATCTGATGTCATTGTGTTAATCGAAAACATGTTATTACACCCAGAGGGTGTAATAAGACCTGCACCCGGCCCAGAGTGTAGGTGACCACGTGGGGCTGCAGTCCCGGAAACTCTGCTGTGCTCACTCCTCCCTGCTGGCATTGGGTGGGGATGGGGTAGGGGGCCAACGTGTGTAGCTGTAGCCAGAGGGCAGAATTTAAAGCCGGCAGCTGTAAGAAAGAGCTAACCTCTGTGTGCGTGTGTGCATGCTCAGGTGCGTAAGCCTGGAGCCTCTGAACTCATCTTTAGTACTGCATCTCTAAGCTCTTAACCTAGCCTCTAAAACCCCTTCTGTCAGAATCCTGAAGATGGCACAGGAACGTGCTTCCCAACATTAGCAGGAAATGGAAAATTCGTTGAGATGTCACAAACTGGAAAAAGATAATTCTGAATTAACACTAAAACTAGAGCCCTAAATTCAGATCATTCAGTTTCTTAGTCTTCATAGCAATTTGGAAATCCTCAGAGGAAGACAAAAGCTAATCATTTCTTTCATTATTTCTAAAAATTATAAAATTAAAAATATTTAATCGTGGTTGTGCCTCAGAAAGTCTTTGTAAATATCATTTCTAGTTTTCTTCTAATTGCCTAATAATTGAGATTCCTTTCTAAGATTCCTTCAGTAACTTCTCCCAGTCCAGGTGGCTTTCTGTGACACTCAAATTTCGTTTTATAAAAACTAGCGTTGTAAGATTTCAGAGTACATACATCAATGGATTAAATCTGAATATCAAATGTCTCAAGAAACTTGAATTCTTCTTGACTCATTGCCAGTTAAAATATTTAGTCGTGTCATAATTATATTGAAGTTTCATGTGCTTACCTTCTAACATTCCTGGTTAATTCAAACAGTGGCACTTGAAAACGATTTTTTTTTTGCTAAGTTTCTTCCAGCTAGAGAGTTGTATAGTATGACTATTATCTGATCTTTGCCTTAGAAGTCATGCCTGTTTTCCAAATGCACTTATTTTGGAAAGTATAAAGTGTGCTGAACTATATGGCACCAAGCTGACTGGTGGGTGCTTGTGGGTGCTCAAGAGAAATAGGTTGATGCTGCCAATATTTGCTGAATGGCACTAATGTGATGAGCCATAGCGGGTGGTACCCTTTAATGGGACCACTGCTCCCTGCATGCGATGAGTCTTTGAAGAGCTCTGGGGAGTGGGTGCCCTCTAGAGAACACATTCATGATCTAGGGTCCCAGGAGAGGAAGAAATGCTTTTGCTTTTGTGGTGGGAATCTTATTAAGCCTTTCTGCAGAGAAAAGGAAGTGAAAAACAAATGCACCCATGATAATCAGTTTCTTACAATATACTTTGATAGCATCGGCTTAGTTGTTTTTAGCTGAAATCATTAGCTTCCATTTTTAGTATAACAGCTACTGGCTAAATTAGTCTACAGAAAGCCATCAAGATGGATGTTGGAATTAAAAACATTTTTGGAAAAAAGCCTGGTTTGAGTCTTAGTTGTAAGCCCTTGGGCAGGAATCGGGTGTGGTTTCTGGTTGCCTGATAGCTGTCACTCTGGCGTCCCAGGCACACGCTCTGAGCAGCCTGCTCCTGAAATGGGAACACACAGCCCAAGTATGTTCTCCTTCCTGTCTCCCCTATGGGCCAAAGCTTTACTGTCTTGACATATTAAGAAATAACAGATTTTACCCTGAGAACTCATGAAGTAGCCTGTATTTTTACCTTTTCCTTATTAAAAAAAATTTTTTTTATATATGGAGTGGAATTCACTGTACAGGGATACAAGCAGAGGTGTGCTGGCTGGTTGCTAAAATTTCAGGTTGTTAACCACAGCAATCATTAAAAATTCTGTATCTTGGGCCAGCCCGATGGCTTAGTGGTTAAGTGCGTGCGCTCCGCTACTGGCGGCCCGGGTTTGGATCCTGGGCGCGCACCGACGCACCGCTTCTCCGGCCATGCTGAGGCCACGTCCCACATACAGCAACTAGAAGGATGTGCAGCTATGACACACAACTATCTACTGGGGCTTTGGGGAAGGAAAAAAAAGAAGAGGATTGGCAATAGATGTTAGCTCAGAGCCGATCTTCCTCAGCAAAAAGAGGAGGATTAGCACGGATGTTAGCTCAGGGCTGATCTCCCTCACAAAAAAAAAAAAAAGAAAATTCTGTATCTTACAATTAAATTATATTAAAAACAAAAGTAACAATCAAAATTCATCACTTCCCAGTTATTTTGCTATATTTTATTATCTTTGTTCTAGAGGTTTTTTATGTTTATTGTACCTATATGGTGGAAATACTTACGTGAGCTACTGTACCTCCCTTTCCAACTTTGTTCAGTGACATCATGTTAGTAGCTTGAAACTGGCTGTGATAGGACTATTTACACTGTGGAAATCAGCAAATACTATAAATTAGGACTTGATTGATTACCTAGACTTAAGAAAGTGATGGAAAAATGTTAATAATGCAAATTAAAAGTTGTCTTGTCCGTAGCCATTACATTGTGCATAACACAAAAACTTGAGGAATATTCTTCCATTGTTTGACAGTTATTGTCCGATTTATCCAATTGGTTTCT